CTCTCTCTCTCTCTCTCTCTCTCTCTCTAAAGGTAAACAAATAAGAATGAATTATCACTTGTGGCCTAGTTACACAATGGGATACAGGCCTTGATAAGGAAAAAAAAAAAAAACCTGCAGTATACATGGGCAAATCGGTAAAACTAAAATTGAACAAAATAAGTAGGGGATAAAAGACAACATATGTATGATACAATTTATACAGGGTTTAAAACTAACGTGGGATGTTAGCAATCAGCACAGTGACCACCCAAAGTTAAAGGTTTAGCCCAAGAGAGGAGGAAGGGAAACTAAGAACCTTGGGAAAGTCGTCAGGGATGTTAGGAATCTACCACAGTGGGGTAAAGATTTCCATTCTAAAACTTCATGACTTTGTATATTCCGGTATGGATGCTATTTTTAAATAAAGAGTTTATAGGAAAACTACTCCATGCTTCCAGAACAGCCATCAAAGGCTTGAGGAAAAAGTGGGCAGCTTCAAGATCCTATCAGAAAATTTGCTTGTGTGTCTAAGCGATCTGGAAGAGTGCTTCAGACAGAGACTGACCTGCAAGAGAGGACACAGTAGCTGATTCCCAGAAGAAATCAGAAATCTACCGAGGACTGGCCCCTGGACACACACCTCCAACTTGTGTTGCTTCTGCTAGTTTTACATTTAGACATGTTTCTACCCCAACATGTATTAGTGGCTGTTGGGTCCGCACGGGGTCTCTGTGAGTTGCCTGTCAAGTCAATAACCACAGGTGCATCCTGTGTTCTAGTCCTGGCTTACAGCCCCGGCCTCGCCTCACTACACCAGGGAAAACACAAGCTCTTCTTCCACAAGCTCTTACAACTGGGGTTTTTTCACTGTGCTGTAAGTGTATATAAGTCTGCTCTCTCCCTGGAAAAACGTCAGACGAATAAAGATGGAAAGACATAGCACAAGCAGCCGGATGTCTCTGCGTTTAGCTAAATCTCCAGGCTTTCCACAGATACTCAGACTTAGTAGTGGCATGGATGCCACAAGTGGAGGTTCCACAGAGATCGGGAAAGAAAGGAGACCCTGAGAGAAAGCCCTCAGAAGGCTGGCACCAGCAAGTAAAGTTTATGAGGGTGGATTGTTGCCTCAACTCCTGAGAGAGTTGGATTGGAAATAGAGGAGCGCTGTCTCAAAAAGAAAATGAAAAGAAAAATAGAAAATGAAAATTAAAAATTAGAAAAATAGAATAATAAAAAAGGAAAATACAGAGAGCCCAGATACTGTATGATATTGTGCTGTCTTTGAATTGTTCAATTGCCAAGGAAAGAATAACTGCTAAAATACGCTTGATTATAAATGCTGCTTATATATTTCAAAAATACGTTGACTTCAAAATTTAAGTATAATGGCAGGTTACTTGGAAAAAATTTCTGCTTTTGTTTTCACAGAAATGAAAAGCTGTAGATTCCTTTCAGACTAACATGGTTTGATGAAGCAATGGCCAGGTGATCCAACATTAAAGACATCTGGGACAATGCAGTCATAGACCACTACAGTCAGCTTTCCTGGGTTTTCTTAGGATTCCCATGGTAATTCAGTGTCCCCAATCAGCAGGAAGTAGTTTGGAAAGAATGACGCCTGATTTCCAAATATCGTTTATGAATGTATATTTTTCAGTTAAATTGGGTTGGTTATAAATGGTAATCACCAGGAATATTAGCCAGATGATAAAGAGAAGTGAGTTAACCTTGAGAGTAGAAACAGATATAGTTAGAGATATGAGACAGAGAATTATTAGTCAGGCGATTGTGTATTTACTTTGGTATATTTTAATAGCCAGGAGAGCTGAACTAAAGCAGAAGCAAATACAGAAGATTTTAGAGTTTAAAAGTTTGAAAGGATCCTTCCCTCTTGCAGAAGCCACCACCACAGCTATATCAGAGCTGCCCCAGGGCTTGGGGAAATGAAGGTGCGACCACGCATACATGCAGGACAGCAGGAAATATCTGCCCCTGAACTGGTTAGCAATGTAATAGAGAGGAGACCTACTGATGAACAAGAATATACAGGGCAGCCTGATTGGGATGAGTATAAAGAGAGAGTTGCTAAGTATCAGGATGGAGAGTCTTCACTTCCTTCATTTTAAACTGGGAATACAGAGAGGCAAATACCCAGTGGTAAAATTCAGCAGGAGCTAAGAGGCTTGGAAGATTTAGTGAAATCGCTCTCTCAGGACATAAGAAATTTGCAGGTTTCCTCAGATTAGAGAAATGTTCCTTTGTCTGTGAAAGCAATAAGCATGGGTCAGCCTACGGTACAGACACCCTTCGAGTTGTGGCAGGCAGCCACAGCATGTAAGGGGACACCCTAACACACCTGCTCGGGGCTGGTTACAGGTACGCATGGCCACACCCACTAGAGTGTGGTCAAGGTGATGTGAGGGAGGTTTAAGAGTGAGGGACACGCACTTGGGAGCCCCTTCTTCCCTTCCATCATCGGCTTGTTCTACTTACCTTGTTCCTTGCCGGCTGGCTAGGCTGTTCTGAGTAAGTAGGGCACCCCCTAATAAATATCCTAATTTCTACACCTGACTCCATATTGGTATTTCACTTTCACAGCAGGTCAGATGTCTTCAATGCAAGCGCTAATATTATACAAATGGCAGATAGAAAGAGATGCTCAGGGATTTCAGACATGTCCTATATAGGAACATAGAGATACTCAGAGAAACATAAGCAAGATGCAGATGCCAATACCATTAAAGCAGCTCAACGAACTAAGAATGGCTTATGTTCATTATAGATCAACAGCAGTTTTCACCCAGACACTGATAGGGAATGTTGCTAGCCTTACCCCTAGGAATTTGGAAGCTGATAGCCAAGGCCTGCCAGTCAGGGGGCAGATTATTGTTATAGAAAGTAGGCAGGGACCTAGGGACTTCAGAATTTGTCTCTAGGCCAGACCCCGGCCCCAGCCTCCTAGGTACTTGGTTCCTGGGAACTATTTGGCTACAAAAGAAACTCCCGGAGAGACCAAAACCTCCCCTATGGTCTCCAGGATACAGTTCTAAAAACTATTGGTATCTGTAAACAACAGGCCACCTGCAAGTAACAAGACAGACCATAGAGACCACAGAATGTTCCCTCTCAACACTGACCAATGAGAATACCTGGTACACAGGTATTTTATGCCAAAATATGACTTTGAGAAATTTTCCTGATTGTTCCCAAATGTCAACCAATCAGAAACCAACCTGTACCTACTGATGTAATCCTGTAACTTTTGTCTTTAAAACCAAGCAGTAGACAGGGAACTTCACCCCTTCTGGAGGCTGCTGTGTCAGCTTGCTAGACGGGGGTCCCACCCTCGGAAGGATGGACATTTTAATAAACCTTGTGCATTTGCATCGGTTGTCTGTCTCCCTGGTCTCTTTGGGGATCCTTGTGATTCGGGCACAACAAAGCCAGGCTCAATTTGTTACTCAATGACCACAGAGAATCCTTCAGCTCAACTATGGTTGAGCCTACAGAAAAATTAGGCAGCCAATGACCGGTGAGAACAAGGGGATGCCAACCAACTTAAGACAGGAGGGTCATGCAGTCTGGGTCATTTCTCCATTGATGGGTAACGTTGGTGTCAAAGTCCTGGTCACCTAACATAGGCACTAATTTATATATAAAGGGGGAGATGTTTGGTCCCGGCCCCCAAGACGTCTCTGTGAGTTGCTTGTCAGCCAATAACCACAGGTGCATCCTGTGTTCTAGTCCTGGCTTATAGCCCCGGCCTCGCCTCACTACACCTGGGAAAACACGAGCTCTTCTTCCATAAGCTCTTACAACTGGGGTCTTTCCACTGTGCTGTAAGTGTATATAAGTCTGCTCTCTCCCTGGAAAAAGGTCAGACGAATAAAGAGGGAAAGACGCACATAGCACAAGCAGCCGGATATCTGTGCATTTAGCTAAATCTCCAGGCTTTCGTCTGATACTTGGACTTAGTCAAGGCACAGACACCACAAGTGGCTTCCTTCACTGAGCTTGGAATCTGACTCTGAATTCCTTTGGTCTGAACTGTAGCACAGACCACATAATTGTTTGTTAGAAATTCTAGTTTACATGCTAACAATTTCATAGGAAAATCTGAAAACATTACATTGGCATGTTAGTGTGTGTGTGTGTGTGTGTGTGTGTGTGTGTGTTTTAGTGTTAGCTAGGTGTAGTAGCACACAACTGTGAGTTCAGGGAAAGCCTCATCTCCAGGAAGTTCAGCAAGTTCCAGGACAGCCAGAGCTACATAAAGAATCCATGTCTTAAAATACAAACCCAAACCATGTGTAGTTGCATATCCGTATGTGTGTGTAAGCCCAAGATTGTTGTTAAGAATCCTCTTCTGGCCTGGCGTTGGTGGCACACGCCTTTAATCCCAGCACTCGGAGGCAGAAACAGCCGGATCTCTGGGAGTTCGAGATCACCCTGGTCTACAAGAGCTAGTTCCAGGACAGCCTCCAAAGCGACAGAGAAACCCTGTCTCGAAAAACCAAAAAAACAAACAAACAAACAAACAAACAAACAAAAAATCCTCTCCTATTGCTTTTCCACCTTATCCTCTGAAGCAGAGTCTTAAAATCTGAGCCAAAGCTCTAGTTAGCTTGCTATGGGGATCCCCTCGCTCTGCCTAAGGCTAGAGATACAGGAAAGTCACCACACCCACCAGCATAGGGTCTAAGGATCTCAACTCCAGTCATCTTAGTTGAGTGGTAAGAACTGCTCTTTCGCTCTCTCTCGCTCTCTCTCTCCTCCTCTCTCTCTCTCTTCTCTCTCTCCCTCCTCTCCCTCCTCTCTCACACACACACACACCCCTCTGTCTCCTCCATAGAAGACAAAGCAGTTATACTACAAAATCAAAGAGCAGAGCAAGACACCATTAAAACTTTCTTACCGGTGCAGTTTGCCGCCATAAAATGGCTTAGTGTGAAAAGTGATGCTGGCTGAGTAGCCTGTCTTTGCACAGTTGACGCCGACTTTGCCACCTAGTTCCACCCAAGGAACAGTGAGAATGGATCGCGCATATGCACACGGCAGGGAAAACGTGTACTCTTCTCCATGCTCCAACAGACTAAGGATGCCTGAGAGTAAAAGCATGACGGTGGTTAGCATCTCTTCTGAGAAACGGCCTTTTCCTGTCTAGTAACAATAGACATTATTATTTTATACTCATTTATCCTTTGATAGTATTGATTTCATTTGGCAGCAGTTCCGGGTGATACTGAATCAGGGCTACTTTCATTGTGACCTTCCTGTTCCTCTTATGTTCATGGGACCTGTAATTGTTACAGTGCAAGCAGTCTAAGTAAGTGTCCCACCGATGCTCCTAAAAATCAAATAAAGCCGGGGCTGGGGCTGGGCGCAGCTGTGCAGCATCATGCTAAGACCTGGTCCTCAGCAGCTTGGCTGTCACTCACAGCAAGATGAGAAAGTGTTCTTCACTCCAGTCTACATATGTCAAGACCCAAATGTAATCTTTTCATCAAGAACTATCGTCATCCCAAGTTTTATTTGCCAAACTCTGAAGCTACTAGAGGTGTAAGAAATCTAAGTGGCAATTTTCAAACAAATATTAGTCTGTTGTGGGCTTCTATATTAATGGTGTTATTTCAAAGTAGCTAAAACATATAAAAAGGGATTTATAATAGTGAATAACTGATCTGTATTAAGATAAGACACACTAAGCATACCCAAGTTATGTTACTACCCTCGATTTTTATCTATTGTATTTCATTTAATTGTGTGTACGAGTGTGCAAGTGTGTGTGTACAAAGGCCAGAAGACAACTTTGGGTGTTGTTCCTCAGATGTCATCCACCTTTTGTTTTGGAGACAGGGTCTTCTACTAGCCTAGAGCTCATCATGAAAGCTCGGGTGACTAGCCAGTCCTCAATCCACTTGTCCTTACCTCTCCAGCAATGGAATCATAAAATAGGCACCTTATTTTTGTTTATTTGTTTGTTTTTGTTTTTCAAGACAGGGTTTCTTTGTGTAGTCCTGGCTATCCTGGAACTAGCTCTGTAGACCAAGGTGGACTCAAATCCATAGAGATCCACCTGCCTCTGCCTCCCGAGTGCTGGGATTAAAGGCATGCACCGCCACTGCCTGGCCCTAGGTGCCTTATTCTTATGAGTTAGGATAAATATTGAAAAGTTTAGAATAATCAAAAATAAATGGAACTGGTTGTACTGGCACACGCCTTTAATCCTGGCACATGGGAAACAGTGGCAGAAGCATCTCTGTGAGTTTGGAGCCATCCTGGTCTACATAGTGAGTAACAGGACAGCCAGGGCTACACAAAGACCCCATTTCAACCAGGTTTGAATAAATATAGGGAAAGTAAGATAGTAAACCCTAAAATCTCAGTAATTAAACTAATTTCCCTCTAATGTTGAAGGGCATAAATGACAAAAGCAAAATGAATGATCACAAAACCCATTCTGATTGTGTGTATGCGAGGGTGTGCACACGTATTTGTGTGCATTCACGTGTGCACGTGCATGGAGGCTGGAGGCCAACACCCAGCGTCTTCCTGTAATAACAAGGCGGACCCTGAATCAGAGCTCTGCTTGCCTCTGCCTCTGAGTACTTCAGGTAAGGAGTGCCTACCATGCCCAGCTCCCACTTTCTTTGGAGGTCGGGTCTCTTACTTACCCATTGCCATGCGTGGCTTTCCTGTCATGGATGCTAGGGACCTGAACTTGGGTGCTCATATTTGCAAGGCAAGCACCTAACAGACTGAGCACATAGCCATTTCTCCATTCCTTCATTTTATTTACTTTTTGCTAAGGGTAACAGATGGCAGTTTAATTTCCTAAAGGCAATGCCTGAATTCACGAAAGCATTAGATAATAAAGTCACTGTATCTCCCCTCATGATTCAAAGAGTTGAAATGGCACATGTTCTTCCTTACATATTTGAGAAGGAGAGGCTATACTGCCAGATTATTCTGTTAAAAACTAGTAAGAACAGTTCTCCTCTGGAAGCACACAACAAAGAGTGAGGTTCTATATATGCCCAACATTCACAGGCCCATGTCCCATCACCTCTAGATTTCAATTAATCCTAATCTTAAAAATTAAAGTTGGATATACAGTTACAAGAAAAAATATTAAAAGCCAGTTCAAATTATCTATCTCTAAATTAATGGGTTAGTTATACTTTTATTTCCTCCTCTGATTTTGTTTGTTTGTTTGAAACAGGGCCCCACTATGTACCTCTGGCTGGCTTGGAACTCGGTATGTAGATCAGGCTAAACTCAAACTCACAGAGATCTGCCTTCTTTTGCCTCGGAAGTGCTGTGATTAAAGGTGTGAACCACCACGCCACAATGTTTCTACAATAAAAATACTTTACAGGTGTGGTGGTGCACACCTTTAATTTCAGTGAATTTGAGGCCAGTCTGGAATTCAGAGTTCCAGGCCACCTAAAGCTATACACAGTGAGACCCTGCCAAAAAACAAACAACCCCAAAATCTTTATATTTAAATTTTTAAAATATAATTTAAAGGAGAATTTCTACTTGTCCATAGTAATAGCATATGATTCTGATGTGTCCCAACACACATTTTGGAGCACAAACTACAGCAAAAAAAAGTAGTACATGTAACATTTAAAATCTTTAACTAGAGCTGGAGAGAGAACTCAGCAGTTACAGGGGCTGGCTGCTCTTGCACAAGACTTAAGGGGCTCAGTTCCCAGTCCTCAATGTTGTTAGCTCACAACTGCTTGTAACTCCAGTTGTGGTTACTGTATGTATGAGGTGCACTTACATATATCATATATGTAGCCAAAATACTCCTATACATACAAACAAATCTCAGAAACCATACAACTAATACCTATACAATTTAACAAGTTTGATATAAAAACTGGAGAACAATTTTTCTACTCACCTTCTCCAACCATTGTCACACCTATTGACATGCCTAAGAACTTGCTTTTAGTCCACACATGTGCATTTACACACATCTTCCTTTCTGTACATTCTGCATAAAACCCTGAGACTGGAGGATGATGGGAAACCTGCTCAGCAACAAATCTGACAGTGTAACAGTCTGAGACCCCCTGGGTCAGAGCATCCTCCAGCAGGGGAGCATGATTTGTGATGGCAGGGGTGGAAGAGTTGCCACTCAAACCGGATGCCATTTCGCTCTTGGGTATCCTCCAGGAACAGTGGAAAGTCTCCCCAATGATGGGATTGTACGGCTTCTTAGCAATGGCCCCCTTTCGGCCTTCATGAAATGAGGTAAGGTAGTACTCAACAAAGCGAATCATTCGGTCCTCAGGCGTGGCTCCATTGGTGATGCCTATGAACAAGTCTGGATGAGACATAAAATCTGCATACATCTCCAGTAAGGAACGCTTCTCCAGGATAAATGTAGGAAGCACCACCTACAACATCAATGCAAACCAATTAAGAAGGAGAATTAATCCACAAATATGTCTGCAGAAAAATTATCTCTATCATCTAAGAGCATTTCATTGCAAACAAAAGGACTAGTCTTGTAACAAAAAACAAAAACAAAATAAAAACCCAAGCATGTGTAATAGGAGATGAGACTCTGCCAGCATAGCTAAGACTAAATACAATTTCAAGACAAAAAGATGGTCATACAGAAGGACTGACAAGTGTTCCAGAGCAGCTTGGAATACTCAGGGGTCATGCTCTTCGGTTTCCACTCTGCATGAACATACCCAAAATATTCTATGAGAAATATCTTTTCGCCTTTATATTTAATGTTATTATTATTATTATTATTATTATTTTTATTTTTCAAGACAGGATTTCTCTGTATTGCTTTGGAGCCTGTCTGGAACTTGCTCTGTAGAACAGGCTGGCCTTGAACTCAGTGATCCGCCTGCTTCTGCTTTCCAAGTGCTGGGATCAAGGGCGTGCACCATCACCGCCCGGCTAATGTTATTATTTTAAATTATTGTTTATGTGCATATTTGTGTAGGGTATGAATAGGTATGGATACAGTGGAAGCCAGAAAAAGATGTTAAGTTTCCCTTAATTACAGGTGGTTTGCAAGCTGCCCACAAAGGTGCTGGGAACCAAACTTAGGTCCCCTGAAAGAGTAGTACCTGCTCCTTACTGCTGAGCCATTCTCTGCAGCCCCCACATCCCTTTCTTCTTAAAAATAAACTGTGGGAAGCTGAGCATGGCAGCACATGCCTATATTGTCAGCACTTGGAGCGTGAGGCAGGATTCCTTCAAATGTGAGGCTAGCCAGCATGTGCTAACTAGTTTTTGTAAACAGGACACAAACCAGGATTATCTGGGAAGAGGGAAACTCAACTAAGAAACCTCGTCTATCTGCTTAGTCTGAAGGCAAGCCTGCAGAGCATTTTCTTGACTAATGATTGATGTGGGAGGGCCTAGGCCATTGTGGGTGGTGCCATCCCTGGACTGGTAATCCTGGATAATAATGTAAGAAAGCAGGGCTAGCAAGGTGTAAGTCAGTAAACAGCACTCTTCCATGGTCTCTGCTTCAGTTCCTGTCTCCAGGCCTCCACCCCCACCCCAAAGATAGGGTTTCTCTCTGTAACAGAACTGTCTGTTCTGGAACTCTTTGTAGACCAGGCTGAACTCAAGGAGGTCCACCTGCCTTTGCCTGAGTGCACCAGCACTGCCCAGCTGTAGCTCCAGGTTTCTGCCCTGCCTTCTCTTCATGACAGACTGTGAGTTGTAAGCTGAAACCAACCCTTTTTTCTCCAAGTTGTTTTCAGTCAGTGTTTGATCACAAAGACAGAGGAGCAAACTAAGATACAGAGCTATACAACAAGACACTGTCTTAATAAAACAAAACAAACAAAAATCTGTAGGCGATAAATTTTTATTTCCTGGGGTTAGGGAATAGCCCAACAGATAGAGAGGCTGCTCTTTACAGAGGATCCAGTTTGGTTCCCAGGACCCATATGATGCCTCAGAACTGTCTGTAACTTCAGTTTCAAGGGATCCGGTGCACTCTTCTGACTCCTATGCCACCACTCACGCACATGGTGCACACATACCTCACGTGGCGCACACATATATAGGTGAAACACTCAAATCACAAAATTAAAGAAATCTAATTAAAAAAAAAAATTTCTTGAAAATAAAAAGGTCAAGGGTTGGGATCTAGCTCAGTGGGTAGGTAGAGTGCTTGCCTAGCATGGACAAGACTTGGGTTCACATAGGACCTGTGTTCACTGCCCAGCATCACATAAAAACTAGGCACGGTGGCCCACACTTGTTATCTAAACACCTGGGAGGTGGAGCCAGGAGGACTCCAAGTTCAAGGCCATACTAAGCTCTATAGTAAGTTTGAGGCCAGCCTGGGGGAGGAGGGAGAGAAAGACAGAAAATGTGAGTAAGTGAATGATCTGTCACAGACTAGAGAGATACATCACAGACTAAAGCAACAATTGTAACCCCAAGTTAATTTTTAGCACAAATGAATCCGTTTTTTTTTTAAAAGATTTTATTTATTATGTATATAACATTCTGCTTCCATGTATATCTGCACACCAGAAGAGGGCACCAGATCTCATAGCAGATGGTTTTAAGCCACCATGTGGTTGCTGGGAATTGAACTCAGGACCTCTGGAAGAGCAGCCAGTGCTCTTAACCTCTGAGCCATCTCTCCAGCTCTAAATGAATCGTTTTGATGAGAAGTTTCGACACCTCAAAGTAAGACAGATTTTCAAAAGCCCTAAGAGGTTCATGCCCATTTCACCCACCTAGTAATCATTTTAGTGGATTTCTTAAAAGAAACAAGTGATATGAATGAAAGAAAAGGGATGCAAATAAAACACTACAATAAAAAAGATAGCCAGGCAGTGGTGGCGCACACCTTTAATCCCAGCACTCGGGAAGCAGAGGCAGGCGGATTTCTGTGAGTTCGAGACCAGTCTGGTCTACAAGAGCTAGTTCCAGGACAGCCTCCAAAGCTACAGAGAAAACCTGCCTCAAAAAACCAAAGATAAATAAATAAATAAATAAATAAATAAATAAATAAAAATAGCCAGGTATGATGGCTGTAATCTCAGTACTCAGGAGGCACAGGCAGGAGGATCAAGAGTTCACAGCCAGCCTAAGCCACATAGTGAAGCTCTTGCCTCAAAAAAATCCAACAGCTTGGCAGGTAAAGGTAGTTTGCCACCTGAATTTGATCTTCAGAACCACACTAGCAACTCTAGCAAGTTGTCCTCTGACCCACACTGGCATCTGTGCCCATGCCCAGGCCCAAAATATGAAAAATGAAAAAATAAGTAAATAAATTAAATTGATGTGTATTTTAAACTATGATCTTTGGAGCTTTAATCAGACTAGCATGGTTATTTAAAGTGGCAGGGCTGTGGGATGACAGCTAACAATGCTCTTAATTTAGCTTCATAGCTTCTACTGAAAGTTCATTAAAATGGTACCAAACAAGCCCAGAAGTACCCAGAAGGAGAAAAAAGGAACGATATTTAAGATTTGGGAACTAGAAAGTTTAATCTTAAGTAGTGTGCACTGCTGGTTCCTGGAGAGGATTGAAGCCAGCTCCTCCCAGGTGCTGCTCTCTTTTCTGCGGGAAGATGCTCATCCTGGCTTCATCTGTTCCTCACACCTGGAGACAGGCCACAGCTTGCTTAGAAGCAGAAAATACTGCATAGCTCCTAGCCCGCCCTTCCCACAGGGTGCCCAAGAGCTGGTTTACACCAAGTGCTCCAACTCTGAGAGATGTGCACTTGACAGGGTTCACACACATTACCTTCTCACCTCCCTTTGGAAGCTGCCATCTATTCACTTTTCCTTAACCAAGCAATAGAGCCTAGGCAGAGTAGCACTCATCTACAGCCCAGGACTCTAGAGGGCTAGAGTTCACAGCCAGCCTAAGCCACATAGTGAAGCTCTTGTCTAGCTTGGAAGGTAATGGTAGTTGCCACCAAGTCTGAAGACCTGAGTTTGATCCTCAACTCAACAAGGATAGTAACAAGTTCAAATTTTTAGTTAATAAAGAAAAAGTAAGGACAAGTACATAACACAGTCACTAAAGAGAGCTTAACAAAAGAGAGCTTTTCTACCTGGGTGACTAGAACATTCTTAGGAGTTCTTGTGTCTCATAAACCTCAATGCTGTTTTATGGCTTTTAAACCTAAAATCCAGTAAGGGACTGAAAACACCATACTAACAAATACCAGATAATTCCTTACCAGACTATTTCAGCTAGAACCACAGCTGGTAAAATAAATATCCTTTCTGGACTGCTAATGTGAAAATATTTCTTGAGAGAATGATACCAACTAAAGTCTGAAGTGAAAGATTAATAATTTAGTTAATTCCTAAATGCTGCTCCTTGGTAGAATTCTGATGGAACCCAGTCCCTTTTGAAGTCTTTCATCAAGGGCTGTGAGATGGCTCAGCAGGTAAAGAGGCTTGCATTGCAAGCCTGACCACCTGAGTCTGATCCCTGGAACCTATGATTGAAGCAAAGAACTGACTCTTGCCTGCACTACCACACACACATCATATAAACACACACTGTGTAAAAAAGGGAATGCTCCTATCAAGCACGGTAAGTCTAAGTTAATACAAACAACCCCCCAAACCAAACACAAAACAACAGTTTTTAACTTTCCAATGATGAACAATGAATTCTTAAGGCAAAAAGCTTTTGATTTAAAGTTCCATAACAAATGAGCACCGGAAACAATCTTTCATCTCTACATTTACAGCCTTCAAGGGAACCCAAATGTCAGTTTGTGAGAGATATCTAAATAGCCCAGGCTGGCCTTGAGCTCACCATCTTCCTGCCTTGGTCTCTCCTGTCAAGGACTGCAGATGTGAAGTGCCACACTGGGCTGTCTGCTATCAGCAGTGAGGCACAAGGAACAGAGCCTTGGCCTCCCAGGCACCTGACCTGGAACTTACTCTCGTTAAATCCATGCCCAGCTTGAGCTGTGACAAGAGATGCAGGATAACACTGCGTTGCTCCTCCACGGCTCCCAGGTCGTCCTCCTTGTTGTCACAGGTGTCCTCTATCTCCTCATCTGCATCAATTTCTTCAGGTTCCTTGATATGGAAGAGAGCAGAGTCCAGTATTTATAAAAAAAAAAAAAAAAACAGAGAATGGGCAAAAGCCTTCTAAAAATACAACTTCCATCATTAATCCAAGAAAAACATTTCCTTTGAAGAGACCGTAACTGCTGGTATAGAACAGACTTTGTGGTCCTGTGACATGTTATTTTTTATTTGTTTGTTTTTTTTTGAGACATAGTCTTACTGTGTAACAATGGTTAATCCAGCACTCACTATGTATCCAAGACTGGCCTCAAACTTATGCCAATTCTCCTGTCTTAACCTCCTGGGTACTGAGATCACAGGAATATGCTGACATGCCCAGCTAAAATATATTAATTTTGCAGAAACAGTATTTTTCAAAAAGAGCAAAAAATTTTCCCTGAATAAACTCAGCTTTGACCCTAATCTGGAATCCACCACATCTTTTTAAGTGATTTTTGTTTGTCTGTTTTGAGACAAAGTCACTCATTATAGAAGGCAAGCTGGCCTTGAACTCAGCCTCCCAAGTCTTGGGATTACAGGCATAAGCCACCAAGCCTGGTTAAATTCAGGAGATTTTGTTTTAAATTTTCATTTATTATTTTAAAATTATGTCTCGTTCGTGTGTGTGTGTGTGTGTGTATCTGTGTGTGTGTGTGTGTGTCTGTGTGTGTGTGTCTGTGTCTGTGTGTACGTGCACACAGGTGCCAGTAAAGGCCAGAGACCAAAGATTCCCTGAATCTGGAGCTGTGAGTCACCCAATGTGAGTGCTAGGACCACACTCTAGTGCAGTATGCTCTCTTAACTGCTCAGAGTTTTAAGGATAAATATTTGTCCTTGTTTAAGCTAAAGCTATAAAGTAAGATATAAAGCTATAAAGTAAAATATAAAGGTAAGTGTACACACATGTCAACTCTAACTATTGTAAACCTTATTTTGCTATTCATTCATGCCTGAGAAGATTTGTGGTTGGAGATTCCAGATTCACATAAAAACTCTGTGGCCTGTCAGGCAGTCACAATGCTACCAAAAGTCCTCTGTGTAGCACTTTTTATCAATAACCCCTCAGACAATTGAAAATGTATACTTCAATCTCACTAGCTCCTAATGACTAAACAATTGATATTTAATAATTTAGCAGATTTTTAATTTTTTATGGTTTTTAATTGAAGGTGGGGGGTAGGGCTTCACTGTGTAGTCTTCAATGCTCAGTATTTTTGTTTGTTTTGAAACAGACTTTCAAAGGCCCAGGTTGGTCTTGAAGTTACTGTCTTTGAATTTGCTTTCACTTCCCAAATGCTCAAATTACAGTCATGCATCCACTTGGGTTCTGACTGTGTGTGTGCGTGTGTGTGTACACGTGAAGGCCAAAGGTTGATGTCAGAGATCTCCCCCTTCATGGGTTTTCACTTTACTTTTTCAGACTTGATCTCTCAATGACCTGGAGTTCACCGGTTCTTCTAGGCTAGCTGGTCAGTGAGCTCCAGGTATCTGCCTATCTCCATCTCCCTACCCTTGTTCCCCAGCATTGCAGTTAAAGATGCATGACACTGCACCTAGGTTTTACTGCTGGGGAATCCAAACTCAGAGTCTCATATTTGCATAACAGAAACTGCCAAATGGGCCATCTCCCCAACCCTGCTGGCTTTTAGGTTTTTGCCAGAGTCTCACTCTGTATGGAGGTAGGCTTGGAAACTCACTTTGTAGTCCAGAATAACTTTGAACTTGTGGTGATTCTCCTGCCTTGGCCTTTAGATTAAAGGCTGGGACTACCATGCCTGCCCAGATTGCTTTGAATAACAAATATACCAAGGTTCAATAGAACATCAGCTGTCACCACGTTTATCCAGTGGTGGTGCCCTGCCTCTCAAAGAAGAACTTGTCAACATCTTTCTGCCAGGACGCTGAATATAAGGATGCTATCTTTTCTAGTTTATTACATTTAAAATTTTCAGGACAGTTGAGCGGGTGGAGGTATAGGCAGGTATTTTTGAGACAGTGTCTCACTGTGTAACTGAGGCTAGTTTTAAACCCACAATAATACTTTTTTATCTCAGCCTCACACAGAGCTGAGAATATAGGTGTAAGCCATCACACTTCAATAGTTATGAAGATTTTTTTGGAAGTTATGAGGATTTTTAAAAAGAAATTATTTTGCGGGTATCATTTTTATTTCCCCCACCTATCAAATAAGTTACATGTTTTTGTTTTGTGTAGCTAGACCAAAACCAAACCAAGCACACATGGACACGGACACGGACAAAGACACACTAAAGGTGGCGCAGGCTTTAGTCCCAGCACTTGGGAGACAGAGGCAGGTGAATCTCTGTGAGTTCAAGGGCAGCCTGGTCTATAGAGTGAGTTCCAGGACAGTTAGGACTGTTACATCAAAAAACACTGTCTTGAAAAACCAAACCAACCAAACAAAAAAACCCCAAATAAAAAACCTCAAACTTCCCACTCAGGTACAAAATCAAGAATACACTCAAATGTTATTTAAGAAAAATCCTACAATGTAAAACACAACGATGTAGTTATAAGAAGTGAGTTCTGTTACTGTTTTATTATTATTATTGATGATGATGATGATGATGATGATGATGATGATCATTTGGGAGCCAGTTCTCTTCTATAGGTCTGGGGCACAAGGCTCATGTAGCACGCTTTCACGAGCAGCACATCTCTCTGGTCAGGGCTCTAAGCATCCTTTTTCTCTATTTCTTTCCTTCAAGAAGTCTAGAAACTCACATTCTGACAAACCAATTATGGTCTGATTTATTTCCTATGTTAAGACTGCATAGATATAGCCAGGCATTGTTGTTCCACACCTTTAAACCCAGCACTCCAGAGGCGGAGGCAGGTGGATCTGTGTGAGTATGAGGCCAGCCTGGTCTACAGAGCAAGTTCCAAGGCAGCCAAGAAACCCTGCCTCCCAAAACCAAAATAAATACATGAATAAATAAATAAAAGACTGCAAAGACAAATTTTGTGTGTTTAGAGCAGAGAACCTTCTGTTTTTATGACCTTGAGGAGCAATGCCAAGACTTTCTCATGTCTCATTTGATGAAGAATCAGCCTGTAAGAAAACAGCTACTGCTCTGGAGCCTAGATTCACTGCATGTAAAAGTATACTTGAACTGTGTTCACTCTTTTTTTTTTTTTTTTTCCCCGAGACAGGGTTCCTCTGTGGCTTTGGAGGCTGTCCTGGAACTAGCTCTTGTAGACCAGGCTGGTCTCAAACTCAGAGATCCGCCTGCCTCTGCCTCCCGAGTGCTGGGATTAAAGGCGTGTGCCACCACCACCCGGCGAACTTTGTTCACTCTTAAAACAAGGGGGAACGGACAGCCCTCTCTACACATGGACCAAATAAAACCATTCTGTGAGATTAAATAATTAGAGGAAACATGGGAGGAAACCCTTCTAGGTCATGATTAAGAATGCTCTCTGACATTCTGAAAGGTACCATTACATGTGAAGTTGGAACTTAGGCTACAGATTAATAATGCAAACACAGCTTCAGAGAATGGGTATCACTCAGAGGGAGCACGTGCTCAGTTATCTGAGAAACTGCACACTCAATCTCAGCACCAAAAACCAAACAGTAACTGTAACAACAGAACCCAGTTACTTTATGGATTGAACCTTCCCTACTGTAAATAACATTAAAGAAAAGCAATCAGGTAGAACACCTGTAGAAAAATACAGTTTTCAATGTTTAAAGAAATTATTGCTTTTATTTACTTTGTATGTGAGTATAAACTGTATGTGTGTATGGGTGTGGGCACATGGCACACACGTGCAAGTCAAAGAACAACATGAGGGTGTGTGTCAATTCTCTCTTCCTATCAGGTGTATCCCAGGGACTGATCTCAGGCTGTCAGCCTCGACAGCAAGTGCCTTAACCCACTGGGCCATCTCACTGGCCCACTGCTTTAAAACAAACAAACAAACAAACAAATAAAAAACAAATAATTTATTAGAATAGAAAAAAGGGGAATTTTATTTAATTTTTTTTAAGAGGGGAACTTGCTACGTAGACCAGACTGGCCTGGACCTCAGAGATCTGCCTGCCTCTACCTCTGAGCTGGGATTAACGGTGTGTGCCACCACTGCCCGGTGAATTAATTTTTTTCTTATTTATTTATATAATTGTATATATGTAAGTATTTATATGTTGTGGGCATGCAAGTGCCATGGCACAAATGTGGAGGTTGGAGGACAGCTGGTTCTTTCCACCCACCATTTGGGCTCTGTGAACAGAACTTGGGTCGTGAGGCTTTGCAGCATGTGCCCTCATCCAGTGAGCCATCTCGCTAGCCCAGGCTCCATGGCTTTAGTCAGGCTTGACTGAGGTTTGCCCTCTCCCTTAGCTGACAGAAACTGTTTATTCTATACCACAGGCCTCTCGCTTGTATTCTCTGACACAGAATGCCCCTGTGAAACTTCTAGACAATAAAGGTCTATTCTGGTTTGCTTGAGTGGCTAAGGCTTTGACAACAACAACTGTCTGTGCTATTTTCTGTCTGTAGTAGGTCATCTAGTCACCATTAGAAAGATTTGGAAATACGGCAATTTCCTTCTAGATCCCGAGCCCCATCCCTTACAAAAGCCTCACTCTGCTCCCAACATGCTCTGCGCTCTCATGCTGGCCTCTCTGACCTTTAGTTCATAGTCTGTCCCTAGGTAATCTCACCCCTAGTCTGGCCCTCTCTCCAAAGCTATGGTTCCCTCACCTTGAGGGCTCTTCAGAAACATTGATCATTACATACCCCCTCCTGGAACATTCAACATGCTCAGAATCACAATAAACCTTGCTCAGAATCAGCTTTCTGATTTTCCTGGCTTTGTGAATAATAACACAATTTTATCTTGTTATTCCGGCTCAGAAGTTTCCAATCTGTCATAGTCTGGCTGATTTTTGTCATTTGAAATGCACATTGCTGATTCATTTGCATTCATTTCTACTTCTATAGTCTTTGGTCATATTTAATTCCATATATCCCTTTCCCAGGCACATGACCCTGCTGTCTCTCACATTAAGACCAAGTCCTGCCGGACTTTATTTCTTTGGGAGCACAGATCACACCACATGTGATCTCTACAGAGCAATGATGCAGGAAGTCCTACTCCACATTGAGTATATGATTATAGTAGGTGACAATCCTGCGACTGGATCCCATAAGCTATTATAACGTAACTCTGCTAAGTTAATTTTATCCTTATGGCAGGCTCACAAGGCATTATCATCATGACTTTGCAGGTGAAAGCCCAACTTTAAAAGCTTTGTCTCCACAGCATTCCTCTTCTACATCACTCTGTATGTCTTTTCTTTCTCTGAGGGAGAAATCACAAGAGTGTAAATTGTATCATCTGCTTATTTTAGTGCACAGAAGTTGTGGCTACATGCAGATTGCACACCTCTTCAGTGAAAGAACCATGTCTTCTCGTTTGTGTATCTCCTCTGATTGCACACAGCTTGGTAACTACAAGTATGTGCACATGTGTGTCAACGCATGTTATTTACTTATTTAGCCTGCTTTTCTGCTTTTTAGCTTCCTGGCTCCAGCACTTTTTCATAAATTCAAAGTCTGTGCCAGGTTTGGACTTAAGAAATAACTTGCTAGCATGTAAATGATCATAAGGGCTATTATTTTTGACTCAGTAATTCTTTTAGGGATATAAGGTTAAAAAAATAATAAAAAATTGGGAAGGAAAATAACATTTAACCATAGTGTTATTTATAATAATAGGAAAGACAAACTAGACATTCAACAACAGGGACATTAACTCAGTATCTTATTTTGACTTTCAAACATTAATTATATAGGCCAGACGACAAGACAGAAAATAGCTTCAATTTCTATGTAATTATAGTAAGCACAAAAATTGGAGACATGAACATAAGGGGCAAAGCAAACAAAACAAAAAAGACATAATTTTTAACAGTATGTCTACAGCAGAAAACGACACTGTAGTGCCTGGAAACACAAAATGAGTACCACTTTATATAACTATTAAATGCCGAGGTCAAGTGATACAGAGAAACATCTGCAACAACTATGCTGGTAACCCGCTTCCTATAGTAAGCAGAGATTACAATCTCAATGCCATTTTACGCTTGTCGATGTAATAGCAAAGACTAATAAAGTTAAACTAACCCACGTCTTTAATCCCAGCAGTCGGGAGGCAGAGACAGGTGAATCGATAAATTCAAGGCCAGCCTGGTCTATAGAGAGAGTTCCAGGACAGCCAGAGCTACACCCTGTCTCAAAACAAAACCAAAAACAACAAAAGATTGCTGTAGTGCCTGTGAGGTGAGCCAGGAGGACTACTGATAGTTAGTTAAAGGCAAACTAGAGCTCTACATTAAGTTCTAGGTCAGCCAGGGATAGTGAGACCATCTCAAAAACAAAACAAACCAACAAACAGAATCAAACAAACAAGTATCTGTATCAGACAAAAGTAAAGAATAAAAAGGGACATCATTAGTCATGTAAAATCCATGTTCAGGTTCAATTAAGATCTTTCCCAAAGCAAATAGCTTTCAAGTAGAACAACATTTAGAAGCTTATAAGAATGTTACTCTAGTATTCTATGGACATAAATATCTTATCAACAAAAACAACATTGTCCCTTTTCAAGGATTCCTCATTTCTTCCATCAAAAACGAGTGTTCATATTCCCTTACCCTTGCTAATACTCCAGACTCTGCAACAGACTGTGCTTCCAGGACTGCCATGGGCTTGCTCGGCTCAGTTGCAAAGGGCTGCTCAGCTCCATTTTTATAGTGGTTTGATAAAGGTATCTTTGGTTCCAACCACTCAATTGTCGTTCCTGATGAAGTAAGAGAAAAGTCTTGCTGAGACTCGCTCATAATCTGGGAAGTTCGGCAGATCTGGATTTCATTAAACAATTTTGTTTTGACCCTATGAGACTAAAGCACTCCAACCCGCACTGAAAGGAGACAGCTACTCGACCTCATTAGCATGAGCTCCATGATTGGGTACTTCACAACAGGGCAACTTGCAACATGAAATGAGATACTAGGTAAAAGCAATCTACCCTGAACAGGGCTGATCTTACTTCTTAGATAAGTCTGTGAATCATGGAGTGAGCTTCCAAACAGTGGATTTGCCAGTGGTATCAATTATGTCCCTCTAATAACCAAAATGTATATAATTAGACTTTAGTGGGAGTCACTTCAGGAACCTGAGATGGTAAACCAACATAATTTGTTTAAAGACTGAAATTTTCCAAACTAATCAAAATAACTCATTGGCAATAATTTAAATAATACACACACACACACACACACACACACACACACACACACACACACACACACACACCCCTACTTTTTATTTAAATCATGAACAGCCCAACATAACTTTTAAACTGAAAACCTTTTCTACTTACTAGAGCTGACCTAGTGAAAGTCAGTGTCACATTTAGAGACCTGTCACCTTCTCAGTTAATGAGTCAATGGTCTCTTGTTACCCTCAACTAGTTTAACAAAGTAGATTCTATGCCTAATCAATAATGGAAATGTTCCATTTGATTTCAGAGGCTGATCTGGGTTTCACAGAAGCTAGGTTATGGAGTGTAAGAATAAGGGATGCTCAAACTACTAAAACAGAAACTAAAAACAGTAGGGCATTTACTAAGTCAAAGGCTAGACTTCAGAAGAGAAATAAATGACAAATTACCCAACAGGCTAATAGTGTCTTGCCTTGTTCAATGGCCTTTGGTACTAGGGCTATTAAGACTGGAGGAATATCCTGGCTAAGGTCATAGGGTATGTTTTAAAGTTGTACAGAAATGGCAACGTTCTCCTTCTACCTTAAAATAACTTTTTTTTTTCCAAGACAGGGTTTCTCTGTGGCTTTGGAGGCTGTCCTAGAACTAGCTCTTGTAGACCAGGCTGGTCTCGAACTCACAGAGATCCTCTGTCTCTGCCTCCCAGTGCTGGGATTAAAGGCATGCGACACCAACGCCCGGCCAAAAATAACTATTTTTAATATCACCATCCAGATGTTTTTCTAAAAGTAAAAGACTCATGAAAGCTAATTAAAAGGCCCAGTTTATGGGGCTAACTATAGTAAGACTTTATTAAACCAGTCATATTCAGACTTCATGGTCCAGGCACAGTACTACACACTTGTCATCCTAGTGCTTAAAAAGCACGTGCAGCATGGGATGGAGAGATGGCTCAGGGGTTAAAAGCACTGGCTGCTCTTCCAGGGGTCCTGAGTTCAATTCCCAGCAAACACATAGTGGTTCACAATCATCTAATAATGGAATCTGATGCTATCTTCTGGCCTTCAGGTATACATGCAGAACACTCATACATAAAATATAAATAAATAAAATTAACTTTAAAAAAATCAAAGAAGCAGGAGTAGTTGAGGCTAGCCTGGGATACATAATAAGCTTACAGACAGCCCAGGCTAGATATCTTATCCATGAATGAATAAAATAAAAATATGAGTTCATTTTTCATGTCACTGAAGAGTTTGATGGAAAGGTATCTGTTTTTCCAAGTTATATTTTCATTCTGAGGTGATTTTAAAATACAGTTTTACATGCCCAATTTGGAAAAGATGGCAACTATGGTGAGAACCACTAACAGCAATGAATTAATTCCTTGAACTATCTATAAACCTAGCCTCCAGGGCTGGAGAGATGGCTCAGAGGTTAAGAGCACTAGCTACTCTTCTAGAGGTCATGAGTTCAATTCCCAGGAACCACATAGTGGTTCACAACCATCCGTTACGAGATCTGTGCCCTCTTCTGGCGCACAGGCATACATGGAGACAGAATGTTGTATACATAATAAATAAATAAAATCTTAAAAAAACAAAAACCTGGCCTCCAAAAAGTCCAAGGTGGGAACAACGACCACTTTAAAACTTCAAAACGTTGTTAACTAATGCAAATTTACTCATACTTCTTTTCTTAGTCACAAAGAAAACATCAAAAGATTGTATTAAACCATACAAAAGTTTGACAATTGTTTTAAAAGATAAACTATTCAATGAAGTATTTATTGAGCATTTAATCTAGTAACCAGCACCACTGCTACTTGATAGACTTCTAAAAATTAAATAGTACAGACTAGAAATAAGATGTTTCATTTTCCTAACAAACTCATTAACTAAAATTAATCCACATTTCTTACATCAAGGTAACTCATCTAATATTCAAATTAGGGGAATAACTTGAGAAAACCAACGTACTCACCCAAGGGTGTAATACCACCCCCAAAATTCCCCTTATCACAGGAATGTAACTTTGGAAAGTATTCCTGACACTTCATGAAAACACATGATATAAAAGAATAAAGTACAATACTAAAGAGAAAATGAGCAGTGGATAGAGCTGGGAGTCAGGACACCCCCCCCCCCAGTGATCCTACTTTGATCACCTGGATACAAGAATTGAGAGGAATGCCACTATTTTAACAGAAACTGAGCTCTCGAATTATGTTGAGTTTGAGGTCTAGAAAGTTATACTCAAAGATGTTAAGCATTAGACCTAAAATTATTCTGAATTCAAAAACAAGCCATAATCAGGAAATTTGTATCACACTACTGTGCTAATTAAAAACCAAGAGACTCAACTGATTTATTTTCCTTCCCTCTCTTTTTCAACAACAACAAAAAAAATGTTTTTCTAGCATTAGAATGATAACAAATACCATCCTTTCCATGTCTTAAGGCCAATGTTAAATCCTACTTTTAATCTACGACTTACCTGAGGGCAATGAGCCCTTCTGATGTGATGCATGCTGCAACTGGAGAATGTGAAAGCAGTCGTTTAAGCAATTCATAGTTGCCATGGAAGTAGCTTTGAGCATCAAGAGGTCCTGGTCCAAAGAACTAAGAAGGCCAGAAGAAGGAAGGCATTCGATCCGTCGAATCAGGTCTCGTTGTTGTCCTTCAGCATGAGACATCATCTAAGAAAACAACAGTCCTGTTGTTTCACTCACATGACACAGGTAATGTCTGCTGCTAGTCATTTAACTAATTCTATTCATTTTTTGAAGCGTTTTCCAAGTATATTAGTAAGACTTAGAAATTTATCTTAAGTTTACTAGGCTATTTTCTTGCTTAAAAAATTATTTTGTGTTTATGGGTGTTTTTGTCGGCATGTATATGTGTACCACAAGTATAGTGCTCCCAGAGGCCACAAGTGGGCATCAGATCCCTTGGGACTTGAGTTAAAAACAGTGTGTGCCATCATGTGGGTGCTAGAGATTGAACACGGTCCTCTGGAAGAGCAGTCAGAGCTTCTAATCACTCTAGTCCCTGCTGGGCTATTTTCAATTAATGAGCATTTAACGGTGCTTATAACTGAAAATTGTGACCTCTGATGATTGCACTTTTTCTCTTGAAGCAATAAAACACAAATGCTTGCCACTTTCTGTTAGCAATATTAACCTATCCAAACCACCAGAAAGAACACTGTCAACAGCAGTACTGAATTTTTAATTCCACAGCTAAAATTAATTTCCAGTCTTTGCCCTCAATCACTTTCCTCTTAAATTTTAGTCCGGCTTGATTTGAACAACTGGGGACGCATGATAGATCAACTGCCTCATCCCTCACCTAACTTCCTAGTCAGGGAATCTTGATTTATTGGTGGTGTTATTGTTAGGCTGGTTTTAGAGCACATACTAGATTATAAGCTTTCCAGAAAAAACATTTAATTAAGACATTCTTTGACTAGAAAGAAGCCTATCCACCACACAACTATAACCCCTATGGTCTCTCAATGTAGCCCTGGCTGTCCCGAACATGCTATGTAGATCAGGCTAGCCTTAAACTCACAGAAATCCACCTGCCTTTGCCTCCAGAGTGCTGGGATCAAATGCATGCACCACTACACTAGGTTCCTATCCACTTTTAACAGAGCCAATGGAGCAATAATTAATGAACAATGTAAATTAAACTTACTTAATTTTATATGCCATTGTTTTGCCTGCACATGTATTTGTGTACCACATGTGTGCTCGGTGCCTGAGAAGGCCAGAAGAGGGTATTGGATCCCCTGGAACTGCAGTTACAGATGGCTGTGAGCCACTGTGTGGGTGCTAGGAATTGAACCCTTGTTTTCTACAATAGTAACAAATGTTCCTCCTGCCGGGCGTTGGTGGCGCGCTCCTTTAATCCCAGCACTCGGGAGGCAGAGCCAGGAGGATCTCTGTGAATTTGAGGCCAGCCTGATCTCCAGAGCAAGTGCCAGGATAGGCTCCAAAGCTACACAGAGAAACCCTGTCTTGGAAAAAAAAAAAAAAAAAGTTCCTCCCATTGTCTTTTCAAAAATTAAAGTGTATTACTTTTTAAGCTTATTCTATATCATTTTCACCCCCTTTTCCCTATGGTTATGTGTTGGGTATTGTCCTTGAGCAGGTTTTTTTAGTGCATTTCTCTATCTGGTTTGTCTTTATGTTGTTGCTGTTGTTACCACTGTTTCTTTCTGAACATGCTAGAAACTGAGCTCAACACCTTGAGTGTAGTGAGTATTTTGCCACCCAAGCTACACCCTGGAACTAACAGAGGCACTGAACTTTACCCCAACCATGGCCTAGTCCTGACTGGCCTTCAGTGGAAGCTTCACCATAGAGAACAGCAGAGACAAAAGACCAGGACCAGCAACCTAAATCCAGTAGGCATAGCTAGGGTGCCCCACTGCTGGACATTCACCTGCATAGCGACAGCAAAGAACACAAGTGCTGCAGACACTGCATCTCTACACAACACACTGTCAAGAGAGCTGCTTACTAACGTCTTCGTGACAGGTGAAGAGATGACCACAGAGCATCATATAGCCTAAAGTCCACAACTCTCCAGTAGCAGGTTCCAAAACACAGATGTAGAAGAAATGCCAAACAAAGAATTAAAAAAAGTGAGTTTTTAAAAAATGAATGAAGCCGGGCAGTAATAGCACACGCCCTTAATCCCAGCACTCAGGAGGCAGAAAAAGGCAGATCCCTGCGTTTGATCCCTGCCTGGTTCTACAGAGAGAATTCCAGGACAGTCAGGGTTACACAGAGAAACCCTGTCTCAAGGAGGAGTGATGAATACCAAGAGGATGCAAGTTAAGAAGTGACTCAATCAGAAAAGACAACACAGGCAATGAAGAGCAGTTCAGTGAAGGGGTAGGGATTCTGAAAAGAAACGAAACAAATCTCAAAAATGAAAAGCTCAGTAGTAAAGAAAGATCAGCTGAAACCCCCACCAATAAACTGTATCAAGTGAAACAATACCAATATTAATGAATAATCACACAGAAATTTGTGGTGGTTTGAAAGAAAATGGCCCCCAAAGAGAGTGGCACTGTTAGGAGGAATGGCTTTGCTGGAGTAGGTATAGCCTTGTTGAAGGAGTGTGTCACTGTGGGGGTGGGCTTTGCGATCTCATATATGCTCAAGCCACTCCCAGTGACTCAGTTCATTTCCTCTTGTCTTTGGAACAAAAAGTAGAATTCTCCAGCACCATATCTGCCTGCCCACCCCCATACTCCCAGTCACCATGCTTCCAAGAGCCACATACGAGAGGAGTTCCTGAAAATCATGCTAATATTAGAACTATAAAAAAATGTTTCCTGAGGTATGGTTGAGAACTGCACATTATTCTTAGAGGTCATGTTACAACTTAGAACATGATTTTCAGAATAAATTTTGGTGTTTGCTATTATAAGAATGAAGTCAGAATTGGGCATGGTGGCTCATACCTTTAATCCCAGCACTCAGGAGACAGAGCAGATGGATCTCTGTGAATTTGAGACCAGCCTGATCTACAGTGAAACCCTGCCTCAAAAATAAATAAATAAAATAAATAAATAAATAAACAAATAAATAAAATGTATATAATAAGACTGAAATCAGGAGAATCCTGGGAGACCACAAAAACTCAAACAATAAACAATGAAAGGTGACTTTTTTTTTTCCACTATGGGTCTATGTGGCTCAGGACTGACTCTGAATTTGCCTCTTGAGTACTAGGATTAAAGGCCTACCTAGTGCCATCACACCCAGCTTTCAGTCCAATATTGATAGCAGCTGGCTTAACAGTGTCTGACTTGCAGGCTCATACATTGTTAGTTATAAAGAAGATAATGGGTATTTCAATAGTCAGCAATCTTAGCTTAAAGGTTTTTATAACTTATTTTTTTTAAAGATTTTATTTATTATGTATACAACATTCTGCTTCCATGTGTATCTACACACCAGAAGAGGGCACCAGATCTCATAACGGATGGTTGTGAGCCACCATGTGGTTGCTGGGAATTGAACTCAGGACCTCTGGAAGAGCAGCCAATGCTTTCAACCTCTGAGCCATCTCTCCTGCCCGGTTTTTACAACTTTTGTCATATAAACTCTAATATCTAAAATCTAAAAGTTGAATTTTTGGATTATATGTGTGAATTTTGACTATGTGTATAAACTGATGTCCTATACCAAATAGAGGTTTTCAAAATACTTTTAGCATTTAGTTTGTGTTTGAGTATGTATGTACACAAATGAGCGTGAGTGTACTGTACTACACACGTGTGGCAATTAGAAGACAACTTGTGGGAATCGGTTCTCTCCTCCAACATATGGGTTCTGGGGACCAAGCTCTGTTCACCAGGCTTGGGGGGACAAGTTCCTTATGTTCTGAGCTATCTTTCAGACCTTCAAATAGTTTCTTGGTGGAGGGATGATGGGGGCATCCTTCTGTGTAAACGTTTGTCTTATTGGTTGATGAATAAAGCACTGTTGGCCAATGGGAAAGAAAGATAGGTAGGACTAGGAGTCAAGGAGGATTCTGGGAAATGTAGTAGAGGGAGAGCTGCCATGTGAGCCCAACAAGAGAGGACACATGCCACTGGCGTCCTCAATCAGATAAGTCTTTATAAAATATATAGATTAATAATCATGGTTGATATTTAAGACAGATAGCAGATAAATTGTAGTCATTGGCCAGCAGCATTGTAATTAATATAAGTCTCTGTGTGTTATTCTGGTCTCTGTATGGCGGTGGGGCTCGGACAGTTTGGTGGAAAGATTTATCATTGGGGGGGTGTGGGGGGGTCATTTATTTATTTATTTTTTGAGGCAAGGTCTCACTATGTAGACCTGGCTGACCTGGAATTCACTATGTAGACCAGGCTGAGCTCAAACTCACCTCCGCCTCCCCAAGTGCTGAGACTAAAGACATTTACTACCATACCTGGCCTAAATTTTATTTTTTTTTCTGAATTTTAATTTTAAGACCTTATTTAGTGGAGCAAAATATCAAGAAGGATGGTTTAAAAGAAAAGGATTTGCATACTACGTTTTATGAAAAAGATGTTTATAACTTAAGCTGGTTGTCTTGTGTGTCTCAGAGCACAAAAAACAGTACGACACATCTTGATAGAAGGCACCTTCTCCCCAGCCTTCTGCTTTGAAACAGTTGAATGATTTACAGCATTATTTCCACAACCCACCTCTGAGTTGCCTAGAAGCCCTACCAATTTTAACTTAGCAAGCAATGTGTGAAACAGTTACAAACTGGCAAACAGCACCCTTTAGTAACTAGAGTTAAAAAGAGAGAACTCACAAGATAAGGCAGTATCAGAATTAACTCCACTTCTGTGTGTGATAAATTTTTGTGTGTCTGTATATCTGGTCTCTTTGTTTGTTTTGGTTCTTCAGCTTGAGCACAGGGTCGTGTGCACACTAGCCATATCCTACCACTGAGCTCATGCCTTCAGCCCTATATATAACACTTTGTTGTTGTTATTAAAGACTAGTCTCTAGATAGGCTATAAAAATATATCCTTCACACTAAGTTTAATGGCTCTCTGATTTTTTGAGACAGGGTCTCACACTGTAGCCTAGGCTGGCAATTCTCTTACCTTGGCATTCCAAATGCTGAGATTACAGGCATGGTAGACTCTTGTGATCATATGGTGGACTCTTTTTTTTTTTTTTTGGTTTTCTGAGACAGGGTTTCTCTGTGTAGCTTTGGAACCTATCCTGGCACTCCCTCTGGAGACAAGGCTGGCCTCGAACTCAGAGATCCACCTGCCTCTGCCTCCCCAAGTGCTGGGATTAAAGGTGTGCACCACACACCTTTTGATCATAAATTTTACATCAAAGCAACATGTAGTTTTACTTGAAAACTAAGACACAGATTTTTAAGAAGGAAACTAAAAAAGACATAGATTCTTGGAAAATGACAGCATCCCAGCATAGTTGTGAGACATGAAGAATTCAGACTATCTGCAATCTTACTGTCTTTATCACTTAGCAGAATGGATAAGAAACACTGAAGGCCCCCCACACACACACACACACAACACAGTATTTACAACACGATGAGAAAAACAGGCACACTGCTGTTGTGTACTTTACCTGCCTTCAATTCATACTTACTTCTCTAACTTCCACAAGATGGTCTGGATGCAAGTGAGCCCTTTTGTTCACCGACTGCAGTTTGGAATGTCCAACATTAAAAAAAGAAATGGCATTCTGACTCGGTCTCCTCTGGGATATGGGAGAATTACCACTAGATGCAAGGGAGAAGCTCCGTGACTTCAGGGGAGGATTGTTCTGTCAGAAAAAGAAAAATCAGTTCTCTTTTGCTTTTTAAATTTTTGGCTCTCTTGCCATCAAATTACCATATACTTCAGGCTTTATACATGTACCATTTTGAGAATATGTTAACATTAGATTTGCCCTATTCAAATTTAGAAAATTGAAATTTCCAATTTGTCATTCTCAAAGAATTTTTATATATTTTTTGAAAGTCTATTAGAAGAACAAGATTTTCCTGATTTCTTATTTTAAACACTGAAGCACAAATGTGCATGTATGTGTGTGTATAAATGAATATATGCATTCTATATGCAGTAATATAATACATCTCCTAAAGAAACAATCAGGCATCCTTTGGAACAGTCTGGCACTTCCTGCTCACTGTCACTGGCTAGCAGTTTGCATCATGAGTAGAATATTACATTGTATTTCCTGGAGACTAGGCATCAGACCTAAATACAATGTTTTGTTTGTTTTATTTTGAAGAAGGGTCTATATAGCCCAGGCCAGTTTCAAACTCACAATCCTGCCTTAGCCTCCAAAATGTTTTTATTGAAGGTCCACCAGTCCCAGACCTAAATTATAATTCTAAAGTTAGTTAGTAGGAAAAACGCTAGGAAGAAAGGAAAATAGAAAGTGAAAAAGGATGAAAAAATTAGGTTATCCTCAAATACTAAACCCTTTGAATGAGCTACTCATGTATCACTTTTTAGACATTCCCAGATGTCCACAATTTCAGACCCTCCTTCTCACCTTAAAACAAAACAAAAGCAAAAACACTCTAAGGAGCCAGGCACAGCACACAAACAAACAACAAACACTTCCAAAAGAGACTTAAATAACTGGGCTGGCAATAAGATTTGTTGAATAAAGGCATTTGCTATAAAGCCTGAGAAAGTGACTGTGCGCGCGCGTGCGCACGCGCACGCGCGCGCGCACACACACACACACACACACACAGAACCACCGCACTACCCAGGAATTCCACACATTCATATTTCTAAGAAATGAAATGAGAGGCTGGAAAGATAGCTCAGTTGTTAAAGCACTTCGCACAAAACAAGAGGATCTGAATTTGCCCTCCAGCAGACCAGTTAAATAGGCAGGCATCGAGGTGAGTCTGTAATCACAGAGCTATATCCTGTGGATCACTGGCTTTCAGTCTAGGCAAAGCAGTGAGCTCCAGGCTCAGTGGTCAGTTTCAAAACCCAAGGTGGAGAGTGACTGCAGAAGACACTGACACTGAACTCTGGTCTCTGCCTGCAGATGCACACACACACACCTGAAATAATATATTCATCCAAAAACTTATGAAGGGACCAGCCCCCCAGTTCGGCAGCCATGACAGTAACACGTGCTCGTTATGACCTTGTCTTAGTCACTAGAGGTTAGGTGCCTGCCTCGTGACAAGGAACCAATCAGAAGTTAGGTGGTGGCGCTATGCTTTACGACCCTGGGTATACAAGCGCACAGCAATGGCACACAGAGCATAGCAACCACCCTGGGAAGGCCTATGGGCCATAACAACAGGTTGACCAATCAACAAAGGGCAAGCCCTCCAAGCCTGGAGGCACACCAATCGTGAGCCTGTGCGTACCCCTAGACACTCCCCTTACACTGCCCTACAAGATCTCTCAGCAGCTGGTTCAAACTGTCTTTTGTAGCCATCTGCCATGGTGGGTGGACAAAAGACCAGAGCTAAGATGGGGTTAGCTCGTTAAATTACAATAAAGCCTCATGCAGTTTGCAGCAAGCTCTCGAATCTGCCTGGTGATTGGGGTGACCATGGTCATGGCCTAGGACCCCGGATACCTGAGTTTTTCCGGGGGTCTAACACTTAAACCCAAATGCTTATAGTTCACATCATTCATAGCATCTATAAAATACGAATAATAAGACAGCTAGGAAGGCTCACACCCATAATCCTATCACTTAGAAGGCTGAGGCAAGAAGGGTGGATAAATGGCTGCCGGTTAAGCATTTGCTGCTCGAGTATGAGAACTAGAATTCAGATCCCCTGCACCTACATAAAACAGCTAGGATTGATGGGCCATTCTGTCACTTCAGAGTACTGGGGAAGAGAAGACAGTGGATCACTGGAACTTACTGGCTACCTAGCCAACCCAAATCAGCGAGCTGTTCCAGGCCAATAAAGAAAAAAGTTAAGAGGGATTGAGAAAGATAAACATGTGAAGTCACCACACAAACACATGCATGCACTCATGAGAGTGAGCAAGTGCGCGCGCGCACACACACAGAGGCACACACAGAGAGAGAGAGAGAGAGAGAGAGAGAGAGAGAGAGAGAGAGAGAGAGAGAGAGAGAGAGAGAGGAGGCTGAAACAGGAAGAGTGCTGGGGATGTGGCTTAATTAGTAGAATGCTTGTCTAACATGCACAAAGCCCAGGATTTGACTCTCAGTATCATAGAAACCCAATGTGGTAGAACATGCTTATATCCTAGCACTTGGAAGGTAGAGGCAGGAAAAGAAGTTCAAGGTCACTGTCAGCTACATTGCAAAGGCAGCATGAGATACGTGAGAATCTGTTTCAAAAAAAAAGATTGAGGCAGTGAGGCAGGAGAATTGCCAAGAGTTTAAGGCTACCTTGGGCTATACAGCAAATTCTAAGCCAGTCTGAATTACCGAGAGATTCTGCTCAAAAAATAAATTAAAAGAAAGTATGTAAGAAATAAAGAGAATCACTATGCTGACATGATGGCCTATACCTATAGCCCAGCACTTGGAAAGCTGAGGCAAATGGGTAGTTTTCAAGGCCAGCCACCAGGAGCATAGGAGACCCTAGCAGAGAGGGGGCTGACGGGAGACTAGTTTTTAAGCAGAAGTGCAGATGAACCTTGAAGCAGAAAAAGCTGACACACTAAACCATGTTTATAAGTCCAAGAAAACAAGAGTGCAGACTGTTCATCCAGGGTTTGGGATGGAGGGAACAGAAGTGGCTGTTGACCATGTGGGGCCACAGAGGGGCTGATAGAAACATTCTGTAGTAGCATGGCTGTCAAGGTCGCACAATTTTATAACTACACTAACACCATGGGGTTATACTCCTTAAAAGAGCAAACTTACAGTATACAAATGGCATCTCAATGTATTTTTTAAACATTCATTTATGTTGCATGTATATGCTCGTGAACATCATCAGAACACACATGTGAAAATGAGGTCAATTCTCAAGGGATAGTTTTCTTTCAACCATGTGGGTCTCAGGGATCAGCCTGAGTTGTCAATCTTGGTGGCAATCACCCATCCCACTGGCTCTGGTATCTAAATTTAAAAGTATAACTGGGTAGTGGTGGCACACACCTTTAATTCCAGCACTTGGGAGGTAGAGGCAGGTGGATCTTTGAGTTCCAGGACAGCCTGATCTACAGAGAGAGTTCCAGGCCAGCCAGGGCTACACAGAGAAGCCCTGTCTCGGAAAGGAGTATAAAGCCCATATTTCCCCATTTTGTGTACTGACACTGTGTACAAACCCACATACCTTTCCGATAGCCTCCGTGTGGTGCTGTGTACAGATCTGGAGTCTGCTAACCCAGTGCTGCCGCTCCTTAGCATCTGTGGCTGATAAAAAGAATATACATGTTATTTATTTTTATCTATTTGGGGAACACAATTAATTGTTCACAGCACAAAAGATGGATGAGTAACAAGCAAAGGTTAGGTCTACTACTGGGATTAAAGATGTGCGCCACCACTGCCCAGCTGTAATGCCCCTATTTAAATAAATATCCTCAACTTAGAATCTGAAGTATTGGGACTGGAGAGATGGCTCAGTGGGTAACAGCACTGACTGCCCTTCCAGAAGACTCAGGTTCAATTCCCACCACCCACATGGCAGCTCACAATGCCTGTAACTCCAGTTCCAGGGCTACCCTCACACAAACATACAGGCAGGCAAAATAACATTAAATGGAAATCAATTTAAAAAAAGAATCTGAAGTATCAGCAATGTTTTCAGATCTTAGCAGAATGGTGAGTTAGGATAGCCACTATACTTTGTGTATTTATTAAGTAAAAACCACACATTTCTTCACAAATTAATGTAGACAGAAGGTATAAGCCAGCTATGGCAGCACAAGCTTGTAATTTCAGTAATCAGAGGTGGAGGGCAAGCATGTGAAATCAGCCTGGGCTACACAGCAAGACTCTGTCTAAAGAAGCCCAAGCGATGCTCATATCACCCTGAACAATTCTGATTTTATGAAAAACCAATATGAACACCCAAAACCAAAACCAAACCCAGTAAGTTATACTGTATCTTAATGAATGTTGACATTTTTTTATTTTCAAATCAGGGTTTCTCTGGGCTGTCCTGGAACTCACTCTGTAGACCAGGATGGCCTCAAACTCAGATCCCCCTGCCACTGCCTCCTGAGTGCTGGGATTAAAGGCGTGTGCCCCACCACCACCCAACAACTATTTTAACAAACCCCAATAGAATATATTAGTCACTAAAACATGTCAAGAGGACAATGGACAAAAAAGAAAAATTTGCTGTGACAGACATAAAAGTATTATTTATACAAGTCTAGTTTTTACAGTTCTCAGTAATCAGGGTTTCATCTACAAAATAAATCATTTTTATAAGGCCCAACACTAGACAGACTCCACTGACCAACTTGAAAACAATTGTTAAAACAGATTTTATAAACCCCCAGAGCAATTCTGAGACGTGGTATGTTATGACAGCAGTGACAGCAGCTCCTGTCCCCAAGTGCATAGGAAAAAGGAGCTATGGAGAGGACCCCAGCGTTTGTGGGCCTGCCCCTGAATTTACACTGCTGCGAGGGGACCCCAGCAGTAGGGTGACCTACCTCTGAGCTTATACTGCTCCCCGCTGGCAGCATTCACTGTGAAGGTGTGGGAATCCTCATCACTGGGCGAGATCACAGCACCCGCAAGCTGCAGAGTACCTCTGGGTTTCTGATTTCTAGATTGTTCATTCACAAAGTACTCCAACAGCCCAGCTTCATTGTTTAAAACAAAAAACCTGCAATGATGTTAACAAAGTTGGGATTTTTAAACATTTGCCCTAGCCAAACTAAAGCAATGCAAACTTCAATCATTTAAAAACAATACTGGATTTTTACTGAAAAAATAAAACAAAAAAACTAAAACTAGAGTATGCCAAGAAGTAAACCCAGAAACATTACACCAAATTTCCTAGGACAAAGATTATTTTAAAATTGAATACATTTAATAAAAGGCACAAGCCATTGAGCCAAGGGAGAAGCATTAATTTTAAATAATACCTGTGGCCCTGGAAATCAAACCAGGGCCTCCCACATCCTGGGAAGACACTAGACCTGAGCTCTATCTCTAGTCCCAGGAGAAGTGCTGCTCAGGGAAGAACACAGTAGGTAAAGAGACAAGGCACATCCTCCTTTAGAGACAGAGTTCTCCTGAGAAAACTTCTGAAAAGGGCAGGGAGAACTCCAGGCTGGTGTGATGCCAGGTAAAAATGATGGAGTCACAGAGATGGCCCTGTGGTTAAGAGCATGTACTACTCTTACAGATGACCTAAGTTTGGTTCCCAATATTCATTCTGGGTGGCTTAAAATCACCTGTAACTCCAGCTTCAGTGGGATCCAATGACCTTTTTTGACTTTGCAGTTACCTACAAATACACACACACACACGCACGCACGCACACACATAATAGAATAATAAATCTTAAAAACATAACCTCAGTAATCAGTATGGATTTTTAAAGAAATACATATGACCTAAGACTTAAGCAGTGAAATATACACTGAGAATGTCAGGGTAGGAAGATGTCGTGACTGTACCTTTAGATAGGTCACAAGTGAAGGTTACTTACCTTGTTTAAAAATGAAAAGACTGCAACTGGAGACACAGAAACACAGGGAACTTGAGACTAAATGATGAAATACTGATACACCTTGGCAAAGAATTTGATGGAACACTGGTGGACTTTGGAAAAAAATTTGATGTTCTGATTCAGTTATAGACTAGATAGTTTAAGATGCATCAATTCAGATCCCAATTTAAGTAGCACAATTGTTCTTTTCTTTAAAAGTTCGATTTTCTCAAATTTATGTTTGGGTTTCCAGAGGTTTTTTTTTTTTTTTTTTTTTTTTTTGCATTCTATATAAGAGCCAACTTCATCTTCATAACAGAAGCTGGTGTGCAGTGTAAGCCAGTCAAGAGCCAGGAAGATTGTTCAATGTCTCAAGTGACATTGAAATGACTGTGCCAAAGAGTCAGAGAAAATGGAATCAGCCTTCCACTCAGGAAAAGAAGGGGATGGGGGGGGGGAAAGGGAGGCAATGGGGGGGGGGGCTAAATCTGCCCGAGAAGAGACAGGAAACACTCTTGGCTCTTCTCCTAAGGTTTGCTGTTGTTTTGAGACAGGGTCTCTGTACATAGCCCTAGCTAGCTATCCTACCATAGGCCAGGATGGCCTTGACAAACACATCTGGCCTGGGATTAAAGGCAGGTGCCAACATACCCAGATCTCTCCTAAATTTCAATGTGCTTTTGAACTTGGAAAAATGTGTTCAGAGCTTGATAAAAATTTTATTTTAATATTTTTGCAGCTTTTCTTTTCTTTGGTTTTGTTGTTGGCTTTCTGTGGCAAGGTCTCACATAGCCTTAGGCTAGCCCCAAACTTTCTATGTAGTCAAAGATGACTTTAAATTCTGATTCTCTTGCCTCTATGTCCAGAGTGCTGGGCTTGCCAGGTATACCACACAGCTTGGTGTGGCTCTGAGGATCAACTCAGAACGCTATATCTGCTAGGCAAACACTTGACTGAATGAGCTCCAACCACAGTCTCAATTTTTTGTAAATTTTTGGTTTTGTTTTGTTGTTTTTCAAGGCAGGGTTTCTCCGTGTAGCCCTGGCTGTGCTAGAACTCAATTTGTAGACCAGACTGGTCTCAGACTCATTCCACCTGCCTGTGCCTCCCAAGTGCTGGAATTTAAAACTCACATTTCATTATTGAAGTTAAAGATCTTTTCATGTGTTTGTTGAACTCTGTAAATAAACACTGTTGCTCATTTTTAACAGGTATTTTCCAAAGACTTAAAGGAATTATTTGAATTAACATGAAGCAGCCATGGATAAGATCTTAGGTTTCCAAGCCTGTCCTTACTAAAATGTCTATACAAATGCTTCATTCAAAAAAAAAAAGGAACCCAAGCCGGGAATGGTGGTGCTCAGCAGGAGGACACCATGAGCTCCGGACCAGCCTAGCCACACAGTGAATTCAAATACATTGTGGGCTACAAAGTGAAATTCTGTTTTTAAAGAAAAACAACAACAAAAAACAACCAAACAAATGCAGGAACTTTTCCGTTAGGAAGAAAGTAATAAAAAACAAACCCTCTAAAGTTGTTCGCTTTAAATGAGTGAACCACACTGTAAATGAATTCCTTCTCAATAAAGATATTAATGTGCAGAAAGGGGAGCTCAGAGATGGCTAAGAGCACCACTGTTCTTGGTGGTTCCCAGTTTTGTTCCCAGTACCCATATATGGTGGCTCCTAATTCCCAGTAACACCAGTTCCAGGGCATTTGATGCCCTCTTCTGGTCTTCATGGGCTCCTGTGTGCACAGTGTAAAGTCAAAGGCTCATACTTTGGTCATTTGAATATATATGGCCCCCATAGACTCATGTATTAAAATGCTTGGCCCACTATTAGGAGGTGTGGCCAGCACCATGTCTGCCCTCTGGCTGCCATGCTTCCTGCCATGATAATGGACTAAATCAGCTTCAATTAAATGTTTTCCTTTATAAGAGCTGCCATGGCCATGGTGTCTCTTCACAGCAATAGAAACCCAAACTAAAAAATAATAATTTAAAAAAAAAAAATGTTTCGGGGCTGGAGAGATGGCTCAGCGGTTAAGAGCACTGGCTGCTCTTTCAGAGGACCTGGGTTGAATTCCCAGCACCCACATGGCAGCTCACAACTGTGTGTAACTTCAGTTCCAGGGGATCTGACATCTTCACACAAATACACATAAAATAAAGTTAAATAATAAAAAAAAAAGAATGTTTCTTAAGAAATTAAAGGACAATCACTACTGGTCCAAGCAAGAATACTATATTTCAAAAAGGAAAAGAAAGGGCTGGAGAGATGGTTCAGCGGTTAAGAGCACTGACTGTTCTTCCAGAGGTCCTGAGTTCAATTCCCGGCAATCACATGGTGGCTCATAGCCACCATGAATAAGATCTGGTGCCCTCTGCTGGCATGCAGGCAGAAAACTGTATACATAATAAATAAAAAATAAATAAATAAATAAATAACTTTTAAAAAAAAAAGGAAAAGAAAAATGACTAGTTTGTTCTCTTATAAGTAGTCAAAGGCAATTTAAAATGTATCATCATTCAGGGCCAGGAAGATGGCTCAGTGAGTAAAGGCCAAGCTTAACCACCTGAGTTCCTAGAACCAACATGATAGAAGAAAACCAACACCACCAGCAAGCTGCACTCCAACTTCACGCGCGCGCGCGCGCACACACACACACGCACGCACGCACGCACGCAC